TTGTGAGAAAGTTCAGTTCTTATTTAATACAAGTTCAGTACATGGTTAATATGGGAGTTCTGAAAAATAGTTCCTTAGCATGTTTCAACCATGATGTGTATAATAATAGAAAAAAAAAAAAAAAAGCAGAGGGTAAAAAGACAAGATTAAGAAAATATTTGGGATTTAAAGAAACTTTGATAAGAAACAAAATATTCTTACATTTGTGGCCAGGAACAAGATTGTTTTTATCTTCCTAGATGACATTACAGATACCTTCAACAGGATTAAAGAAATAGGAATGCCTGTATAAACAGCAGATTTTGCACTGAAGCTAAAACCAACCCATACAAATAATAAGAGAAGAAAAAATAAAACCAACCCTCAAATATACAAATTTGAGCTTGTTCTAGCCCTGTGGAATGAGTGTGAGTTATAAGGTTTGTCACAGTATTGCTTTGCAAGATCAGTTTCAGAAGTAGAGGAGAGTCCAGGTCATCTGTTTTATCTGATGTCACCTCTTAAAAGCAAGGAGCTTTCCTGTGATTTTGTTGATTTTCAAGTAGCTGGATGGTACAGAAGTTGTATTTAATAATGGTTTATCGTCAGGGAAAACACTCTCTAATATCCTTGAATATTATGAAGATGACATGGTCCACCCTGAGGTATGCGTGCTAGCACACTGGGAATATGCTACAAGCACAAGTAGAAGTTTCTGGCATCCAACATGTTGGGACTGAGCTGAGTTAAAGATTTTGTGCTCAGGCCAATCCCACTTGATAGCTAAGATCTTGCTTCTCTCTAATGAGGAAGCACAAAGAAAGAAGTTTGAGGTATGGTTGTTTTCTTCAGAATTACCACCTAGGGCTTTGTAATAGTATATTAGGTACCTCTATTATCTCCTTTCTGGGATCCCTCACTAGACATATACGGAATTTTTTTCTCTTGATTATGATGTGTATTTTGATGCAGCATGCCTTCTCAGTGGCCAGGATAGTGAACACAAACTAGTAATCTGTTTTCAAATGGAGTGAATGCAATCACACAGACCCTTAATATCTCATTGATGATGATAAGATTTTTAGCTAGGAATGAAGAGATGAATTTTAGCAGCTGTTTCTTCCCCATTAGTTTCATCACAGTTCTGCCTGTTGTACACACCCACCTGTTGTATGCAGCACATTACATGCACCACAGCTGCTGGTTAAGAAGTGCCTGATGAACTTGGGCCAGAAGCTTCCTTGGGAACTGAAACTTGTAGTGACAAAGTCTGTCTCTGTCCTGTTTCACCCTTCACCTTTGCTTATACTCATGGAAACAAATACAATCACAGGATGCATCCCTACCATAATCCTTGACGTGATGAATGGGGGTTTGACTCACAGGAAACTGTAAGAAAACAGGTTTTTTTGCTCATTCAGTGATGTAGGTTTCCTTGAGCTGTTCTTGTGTTAAAATGCAAAGCAAATAGAGCATACTGGAGAAGCAGGTGTGTGGGCAAGGAACAGCTTTGAAGCTTTTGCCACTCTGGATGGGAAAAACAGACTTTAATAGGTGATGTTCATTGGGATGATGTTTTGTTGGTCCTGTTAACTTTATGTAGGAAATATCCCAGGAGGCTATCAGTGCAAATACTGGCATATTTTTAGGGGCTTTCTTAAACCTCTTATTTCAAAAAAATCTATGAACTTTCTGTCTGGTCTGTCCTTTTCTAGCCTAAGCCTTTCCTTAGAAATCCAACAATTTTCCACTTGAAAATAGCTATGGGTAAAGTCACACACTACTTTCACATAAGATTAAGGGTTTGACAAGCACAGTGGGAACAAAGAAATTCCAAATTAAGTCTGCTCCATATTTAAACCCCACTCTCCCAGCCCCTTATTGCACAATAGCAAACTTTCCCCATGCAAGTAGGTTGTTGATATACTTCCAAAAAGAATTCCAGTAAGCTGAGGGATGAGATTAAATGGATTAAATAGCCTCCTCATTTTTCAGGGAAAGAAAAAAAAAAAAGTTTGATTAAAGGCACGTACAAATGAGAATTTAAATTATTTTGGACTAGACTGGCCTTCCAAACTGCCTTGCAAATTAGCCTTCCCTTCCTTGACGAGGCCCTGCATGTTGGCAGTGGGTGTGTGAGCACGCTGGGCATGTGGAGTTTGCGCTTTTGCTGCAGCCATTTTCAACAGACTATGGTCGTGGGCTGGGAGGTGATCTGTCAATTGGGTAGAAAAGCTGCAAAGAATGTAAAATGGTGCAGAGTTCTCTGTGGTCGGTCAGTCTCCATTTAGTGCCAAACTGCTGTGCCCTACTCAGCCAGAGTGAAGCCCTGGGAGGGCCCAAGGACTTCCAGTCCACCATTCTGCTCCCACAGTGGTGTTTTTGGTGGTGTCTTCCATGCTGCCTGTGTTATGTGGTAATGATGAAGGTATTACCTTTTCTTCCTCAGTGCAGACAGTTTATGTGGTATGAACACTAACATTCTCCTTCCTTTAGGTTTTGTGGAATTCTTTTCCTAAGAATTTATGGGGCACCAGCTTTGTACAAACTACGTACAGATTCTCCCTATCTTACACTACCTCATAATGAAAGGAGATTTCTCCTCAACCCTGCCCATCTTGTCTTTCGTTTTTCTGACCCCTGAAGACAGGAAATAGCAGTATGAAGGTCCACACCAAGGTCTTGGCAGCAGCTGACAGCTTCATGTGTGGCAGATAATTACTGGAGACGTGACTTGTTTGTGGACATCATGACTTCATAGGAAACCTATTTTCATCTTGGTCATTTCATGGCATCCTTTTTAATTCTTTGCCCTGTGAAACTTACTAACCACTTGTTCAAGCAGCAGCAGTACTCTTGTTTTTCTTGCGTTACTGATTTTTCACCAATATCCTGAAGACCCATTCTGTTTCTGAAAAGATATAGATACTACCATATACCTAGGGTAACATCAAAACCAAGCCAAAACAAAATTAAAATAAGGTAATAGGAGGGGTTGAAGGGAACAAGGTGAACAAGATTAGTGGCAGCAAATGAATATTTTCAGGAATCCCAAAATAGTTTTTTAGTTGTTTCTAAAGTCTACTAATTTGCCTTAACCTGTTGCTATTATGAATAGTCTCATCTAAGAGGCTGAATACTACTGCGTGCCAGATCTCACTTAGGCATCCAGTCTAATTGGTCTTAAGTATAAGCAGTGGAGTTATTTTGTACTGTGTGCTTGTTTTCCCTTTAAAAGCAGACTTCTTGCTGTCTTTAATTTCTATATTAGTCTGGAAAGCATGCGCCAAGAGGAAAATTTGTTTCACATTTGTTTCAGATTCAAATTAAATCCCTTCACCCCACCAAATAATTTGCAAGGGAATTAAAAAAATGGTTTTGGTGACCTTATCATGACTGGATCTCATCCTGATCCAGTGCCAAATCTTTTTAGCATTGTAAGGAAGTAAAAACAAGAATTAAGAACCTTTCTCTGATTACTTCTGGAATAGCAGCATTTCCTCTACCTGCAATGAAATGCTTCAAAGCAGCCATTTATTCAGGCGCTGTAATTCATATCTCATTTTACTGACTGACTTACACCTTTTATTTTACCATAACACTTGTGCCTGTGTCCCTCCCACCTGGTTTTATTCACCTGAGAGGCACATCTTCAGAGGGTGGTAAATGATTGCTTCCTGGAGAGGAGGAGCAGAGAGTGAGGGGCATACCCCAGTGACAGTGCAGCCTGCCTAAGGGATATGTTACCTCTGTGCCTTAAACTCCTTGCTGGCTTTTTCTCAATCCTTCTTGATCACATAGTGTGACTTTGCTTCTAGTGTGATAGATTAGATAGAGAATATAAGTACCTAAAACTAGTACCTCAGGTTTCTAACTGTAAATCAACCAACTAGAGCAAAGAAAAAAAGGAGGAGAAAGTATGAAAATGAATGTTATCTGCTTAGCTGTACTTAAATGCTTGCCTAGCGTTCACGTCTTTGAAAATCTGCCCTCGGGGTAAACAATGCTGCACTTTGCACAACCTGTGCAAAAATTAGCAAGCATTCAGAATGTGTTTGGGAAGCTAATAGTGTCATAACTTTCCTAACCCTGTGGGTTGGTTTTTTTTTTCCTTTTTTGCCCCCATTAAGCAGTGTACTAGGGGCTCATCAGGTTGTGCATTAGATAATCGAGTTGTTATGCCAGCAGGCTGTGCTGAAAGGTGCTACATCAGTGATTTCTTTTTCATCCCACTGTGCTTTTGATCTTCTGCTATAAAGCAGATCTAACAGTGGAAACTTTTGAAGATGATAGATGAATTTTACTAATTCACTTTTCATAATCCTTACAGAAAATGTCTGTCCTTATCAGTCAAAAAAGATTTAATAACTGTTGTCTCTCAAAACTGTCATATTATCAGGATTGCAAACTATGGAATTATGTTACGAAGTATTTTAGTAACGTATTTTGAAATTCTGCTGTAAATACTTTAGAATAAATAATTAAAGATACTTCTTTGTTATAAACATGCATTTTTTTTTGTATTTTCTCACTAAAATGTAAAACTCATTTGCAAGAGTGCACTGTGCAATGGTGAATATCTGATGTCTTTATTGGTGTTAATTGCCCAGATTTGATGTTATATTATTGGAATTCACTGAAACAGTCAATTGAAATACACTAATTCAAAACATTATACAGTGCTGAAACAAATGGTTAAAGTCTTGGCTCACAATATATAAAGCACTGTAGCTGATGGAACCATTGTGACACTAAGAGTACTGTTTGCAGACTTGGGGACCATAAAATATGGCATCTTCTAGAAAGGAACAGGGGGATGACATTCACACTTATATGGTCCAGATTAAGTCAGTAAAGTTAGTGCAGTTTCCCAGGATTTTGTTCAGCACAGTCTTGCCCAATATATCTTTTATTATTTGAGCTCCCCACATCTCTGGAAAAACCTTCTTACAGAAAATGTTTAGAATTAAAAAACGTGCTCACAAGTGCTGACTATATTTTCTCTCTTTTCTTTACAATAGCTTTGGGCCAGATAATGCTCTATGTTGATGGCATGAATGGAGTAATAAATCATAATGAAACTATCCAATGGCTATACACGCTTATTGGGTCAAAGGTAAGGCACTCTCCAAAGTTCTCATTTTATATGGTTCTGTTGTTCTTTAAATGCATTTTGTTTGTAATATGTATGTTTTTGGGGTATAAATGGACTGTGTGTGAGGTTCTAAAATGTTACATAACACTCTGCATGGAAACCAGCTCACACTGAGCTGTTACTTCTTTTCTACTGTTTTTATACTTGTTTGTTAGCACATACTCTGCTCTTAAGAGCAAAGATACCAAAGATGCTCTTGTTACTTTCTGTGCTACACTTTACTACGGAGAAGATTTTTTTAGTCTTCTAGTTGCAGTTCCCAAGACATTCTTTGGAAGGACTTTTTGGGGTATTTTTATTTCCCCATTCTATACTATGAATGCAATTCTTTTTCTACTCACCATTGTACACTGCTCAACTTTGCTGAGCACTGGGGTAGGACAATTCAGAGTGACTTCTTTCTTAGACTAGAATACAGTAGTTGCCTACAACTATCATCTACTTCAAATGCCTGACCACTTTATGAAGGGCATTGTCCAAATGCCTCTTAAACACTGACATGTTTGGGACATCGCCCACCTTTCTAGTAAGCCTGTCCTAGTGTTTGACCACCCTCTTGGTAAAGAAATGACTCCTAATATCAAGTTTTCTTGTTCCTGAAGAGCCCTAGAAGACTAAGTCTGGTACTTACCTACAGGGTATTCTTTGTTGTTGCCTATATATGAGACAAAAGCTGAAAGGCAGAATGTATGCTGCTTGAGTTGGTCTTCTCCAATGGAATAGTGATTTATTTAATGCACAATTCACCTTTAAGGTCATCTTTGCTAGAATTTGAAAAGGAAGCAGAACACAGATGTGCCACCCTGAGGGGCCATAGGGTAGGGAAATCCCAAATACACTGTTTTCCAGTCTGTTGGCTGTCCAGCTTTAGGAAGTTTATTAAGGCCTGCCAGGGACTGCTGCTGCTTTTGCCATGTAGACATGTACATAGATAGATCTGTATGACACAATACCTGAAACACAGTATGGTAGTTAGTGTTAACAACTCAAAAGTTGCTGTAGTTGGTCAAGTCCCTGTTATAGTTACTAAGAGATTTCCAGGAATGTTTCCTCAAGTGTGTGAGTCACAGAAAGTTGCTGATGGATACTGTAGTGACACAGAGATTCTGCTGTTTTCCCCTTTTCCCCGATAGCTTTCATAACTCAGGGAGAAAGAGCTTGATGTCCCAGGGGTCTTTTTTTAACCACTGCAGAATTTTTTTTGCAATGTGCAAGCATCACTACTGCAACAGATTATTAAGTCAAAGAACAGATGCTACAGTATTGAAAGAACTGACTGATCTTGGGTTGACATACCTATACTGGTAGATAAGTAAAAGTAAGATAATTATGGTTATCAAATCTCAGGCTTGAAGGGCATGGTTCGTGATTGGGAGACAATGAGGAGAAACTTCTCCCCCATGGAAAATGTTCTGCTGTTGTCTGGGCATTGTGCTGGGCTGTTTGTCCTCTTGAAACAGGGAATATTTGCCACAATTGGAAAAGCAGTGCAAGATGAGAGAGAAATACTTTGCTTGGTATAGATCCTCATTTTCTGTGGAACAGATAAAAAAGCAAAAAAAGAAACAAATACTTATAATTATTTTTGTTCTCTAATGCACCTAATGGGAGTGGGATGGGAGAGAAACATGACTGTATCGCTACCTTACAGATTAAATTCTGTCTAGATTTTTTTACCCCAAATACTTCAGCTCTTGGATCCTTAAGCTCCTTTCTCCCTCCCCCATCAGTAGCGCGAATGATTATCTCCATGTCCTGGCTCAGTGCCTGCAGCTGAGGAATGCAGGCAATGTGCTTTGAATAGTTTGGTTTCAGGTAGCATCAAAGTTGCTTTTTCATTATTCTTTGACTGTCTTGGAAGAGATCTAAGTCCCTGTCTGTGTGCCAGAAGTTAACCAAAGGTGTGGTGGGCTTACTGTCAGAGTGTGGTGGGACAGCTGCTTTATGCACTTAAAGGTGGTTTTGACGTTCTGTGAAAAATGAACCCCTGGAATTTGCAATGCACCTACAGTCTAATTTGCAGCCCTGGTATGCTGGTGCCTTCTCCACAGCAAAGATGATGAAAAATACATTAACATTGCTGAACAAAAAAGGAATAGTGAAATTGCCAATTAAGTCTTGGGACAAATCCCTCTAATAGGATTCAGGAGGAATACAGTTATTTAGCTGCCACAGCTGCAACACATGGTTTCTTGCCTTCTCAAAAGCTCTGACCAGGTTTAATATGCTTAGCAGTGGAGGTTGTTGAATCTGTTCCACAGATATTTTTTTATTTTTTTTTTAAATCTAATTCTCTAATGGTTTTGACCCTTCTCTGGTTGCTTGCTCTGTTCTATTTGCAAAGGGTGCTGGTTCTGTCACCCTTGCTCACTTTGAGTAGTGTATTATCGTATGTGCTGCTCCACTGCAGCACACAGGTTCAGCAGAGGACCTTAGGGTCTGGCATGCTCAGCACTGAAACAGCTATAATTTTGGTACCCAGCTCCAAGATCACTTTATGCACCTAGTAACACTTTTGTATAGGGCACAAAAGGAACCTTTTGTTGCAGATCAGTGCTATGTAGGTGCTAGATTGATGACGTCAGTACCATTCTTCTGTGATACTGTTAGAAGAGAAGAGCATTATTGGTACATCCCAGACTCTGAGGGCCATAGCTGGTCCTTTGCAAGATGCATCCAACCATATGTGACCATACCAGTGTGTGCCAGTGGGCTTTCACGGGCTGGCTGTAGGCTGCTTTCTGATCATCAGTGATTGATACATACCTGGCATAAACCATTGGCAGCATAATCCCAATTTAAATGTACATTACTACTATTTTATCATTAGTTATATAGGTAGCAATTCATTGGTCTTTCCCTGTTTGACAAAGTGTTCAAGTATGTACTTAATTTTGGGTGTATGGTTACATGCTGTTGGCTTCCAGATAACTTCAATACATAACTGAGGTCAGCAGTGTACTGCTGTAGGCATGCAAGAGACGGCTATGGCAGGGCCAAGGCTGTAACCATCTTATATAAGCTAGAAGTTATGTAAATAGGAAATATCTGTGTCAACCAAGTTTTCTTTTGGCATTTGTTGCTCTCGTGGGACATTCATGCAAGAGAGTTTCTTTTTTAGAAGACAAAACTAGGAGTCATTAAATGCTAGTTAATAGTGCTTTCAGAATTGCTCCTTAATTTTTATCTTTTTTTTTTTTTTTTAAGCAAGTAAGCTAGCCTGTGAAGGATGATGCCTTAACTGACCGTGTGCTGTAGCACATGTAGGGTGTTTCAACCTCATTGTCTGGGAAGTGGTATTTCACCTCTTTCTCAGTGTTTCTGCCAGCTATGCATTACTACTGCTGAAGTTGGAATTAAGTTTTTGTGGTTTATTGCATTATATTTAGGCTAGCTGTAAATGAACGTGAGGCATTTGTTTATGCTGGCAGCTGGCACTGGAGCTCTCAGGTGGATCACTTGCAGGTAAATAGCTGTTGCAAAATTTCTCTTACCCAAAACAAGGGATATCAAGTCAAATGTATTAAGCCTTATTAAGTCCTTATAATGTATTTTTCCTCTGTTAGCATGTTAACCTTCATATATTGGTAATCCCTCTGTAATAGAAATCCCTCTAGTAATAGAAAGTGGACAAGACTGTATCAGTGCCTTAACCTTTCCAGGACTAACTACTGACTGTTTCCAAAAAGTACATTTCTGAACCAAATATCTCAGAAAAAAAAAACCAAGTTTTTAAATCATCCTCTAGAGAAGGACACGTTCCTTTACATCACAAGCCCATAGGCTTTTGGCAATCCACCTCAGTCTTCAGAAGTGCATCTAATGCATTTAGTGCCCTCAAACCTGAGTCTAGTTTCACCTTTTCTTTCCCCCGTTTCTGACTGGTACTGATAATGGTTATTTTTTCCCATTTGATGATCCAGGCTGTTCTAATTTCCCCCAGGGGAGCGAAAGCCTGTTTTTGGCATTGTTTTCTGTGGAAAATAATCCATTTCCAAAGTGGTGCTGGGTAACCTCAGAAGACGGGGTGGAATGCTGGGCCCAAGTTGATACAAAGAGGTTGATTAAAGATTCCTATCACACATCTTGTTTTAATTTTTTTTTTCTACTTTACTTCTATCTGGGTCCTAGATTACAAGGTTAAGTACAAACTTCAGCTAACAAGTTTTCCCTTGCGTGAATTATTTGCTTCCCTTAGTATTAAAAGAATGACTTTTTGAACGTTTAAAATTGTTATTCAATCAAAAAGAAGCACAAAAACCCTGTTTCAAAGCAAAAGGGAAAAAACCCACATTCAAAGAGAACACAGTTGTAGTGGGTGAATTTATTGATTTCAAAAGGAAAGTCATATGATCACAGAACTACAGAGTGGTTTGCGTTAAGACGGTTCTTAAAGATCATCTAGTTCTAGGCCTCCCTGCCACAGGCACAAGTATCTTCCACTAGACCAGGTTGCTTAGGGCCCCATCAACCTGACTTTGAACAAATCCATTAGGGACTGCTTTTCCTGCATGATGCCAGTGGCGAATTAAAACACGTACATGGTTACTAAGTCATTTCATGAGAATTTTGAGAGAAATAATATTCTTGTTCACAAAAAACTATTTTTATTGTTGTTGTTTACAAATGAATCATTTAAGGTATGTAGAGGTTGACAAGCTTGATTAAATTAGTCTCCTTTTCACAAGTCATTCATGCCTGTGCTCAACTGAAGTCATAAGCTAAGCTTCATTCTATTCTTTTCTTTTCCTTGGGAAATTTCTCATCCAGTCTTATACAAATGGATTTTCAAGTGGTCTCCAAACAAATATCTAAAACTAGTTTGTAGTCATGGAGAAAGTTACATATCAAAGGGGCTTAACAGATACAAATAGGACTCAAATAGTAGCATTAGCGGTACTAAAGCCCGAAGCATGTTGAATGAAACCACTGCCAACCTGGATGGTATACCCTATTGTTGA